AAATAGTACTATTGCAGCTCCACTAACCATTTATAAAAGAATATTGCTTTATGTTTTGTTCCCAGGAATACAGCTTTTATGAAGTCATTCATTCTTTGAAAGGTTTGAAGTGATTTAGAAGTTATGCTTAAAGGTATTTCAGCCTGTATTTTCCATCCAGTATTTTCCATATTTCTTTTTTGTGAAATTTCATATATCAGTGCTCTATTATAGGTTACTTGTGAGTCTTTTGTATGGTAGTTTTCCTATTCCCTGAAAATCAGCCTTCTTTCTTCATTAAAAAAGCAGAAAAAATGAAAGTTTCTGTGCATAAGTCCTGCTTTCATTCTTTCTAACAAGGAAACAACAAAACAAACAACAAGGAAACCAAAACCGGAAGTCTAGGTACATCAGAATAAAGATTTAATTTCTGCCAAAAGCATACTTCCAGGATAAAATGACATAACCTTTGGAGAAATATAGAAAAGGTGAAATTTTTAACACTGTAGTGTTAGATGGGTCTCAGTGACTCTTCATTTGTAGAGGGCATTTTTTTTCCAGAGGTGTATGGCATGTATTTTAAACTGTGTTTATAAATCRTGTCTTTTACTTTGGTCAAACAGGTAAGCAAACAAAGGGAGAGACAGTGGATTTCTGTAACAACACATTGTGAGTGTACACTACAGAAAAACTGGCTGTGGTTAGCGGATTTAGCATCCYAGATACTGTAAAAATTTCTCTTTACATGTATGGTTATAGGCACCCCAGCACTACTGTTGCTTCCTCAACAGTGACATCTGGACTCATTACTACTGAAATAACTGCTCACTCATTTCCTTTTAGGTAAGCTGTAGATTCAGGGAGGTACAAATGAACGCGGAAAGCACAGCAGAACAGTATTTCCTTAGCATATGATATAAGCCAGCTGGAACTAAAACTTTACAATAATAATAGAGTTATGTTCAAAATGGGAATACATCTATTTGGAGAAAAATTGTTCAGCTGCATCCTCTGGTAGGAGGGTGTTCTTTCTGGGACACTGTGAGGAACTAAGAAGAAGTTCACTTTCTTGTGTTACATTACTTCAACAGAGGGAGCAGATTCCCTAATTAAGTATGCTCAAAAGGTTTCAAAGTGAGTTGATTAAATGAATTACTGAACTTAACAAAACCATSTCAGAATCAAGAGGCAGTTTTGCATTCTCCTCTGTACAATCTAGCATTATAAATAAAGCACTGCTCTAATGATAATATTTTCCATGACAGGAGAATGATAAACTATTTTTTTAAGCTTTTGTTCATGATACCAACACTTTTCATAAAGAGCACAGTCTTCTCTTGCCCTTCAAGTGTTTTAATGATAGAAGCACTGACTCATTTTTGTAAGCTGTTCACAGCTCCTTCCTCTGACAATAGATATTCATATTTTAAAGTAATGCATTTCATTGTCATATCTCAAAGTATTTTGACAAAATGAATAAATGTTACATTATCAGAGTTTTGACAGAATGAATAAATATTACATTATCTGTATAACAGGAACAACAATAGTGGCACAGAAATTACYTGCAGTAAAATTCAATTAATGGAGAAAGCTGGAAGTAGAATTTAGACCCACCATACCTCTCGTCAGATATATAAGGATTAAGACATATGGGAATTTCATTGATATTTTTTTTTTCCTGCAAATTTCAATTTTCAAGTGGAAATGCTGGCCATATTTCCTACATATTCCACTCCACTTCATGTATTCTCATGAGAACTCATGCTTCTGATAATAAATYGAATATTGATATTAAGCCACTAAATTATAATTCTGAGTGTGGTAATTATTTTATTCCATTTTCAGTCCTACTTACACCAAAAGTCCACCTTTTAGAAAGCACAATGAAATTCTGAGGGAGTCTTCTGAAGATTCCCTCACTGATTATTCATGTTTGTCATTTAATCTACTTCAGTTGGGCACTTCAATAATCATCTGTATGAATACCACTTTGTAAAAAAGTGTTCTGTGATCCAGGAGTAACTTACACCTCATTTTACTGAGACAATTTTGTTGTACACAAAGCTACTCCCCAATGAAAACCAGTATCAGATTTGAGCCATCTACTATTCAGCTGTTAACCTGATAACAGAATTAGTCTGCTGACTAAGCAGAGTCCTCTCAAAAGGAAAACAGTAACATGTAGAGTAGTTTTTCACCATCTGTTTGAGAAAGAGCAAGTGTGTCTGTGAATGTACACATGAGATTTCTTGCTTTGAAAGAAAGAGAATTGGAGAATAAATCCTATCTGGAATAGAGAAAAAAGTTTTAAAAGAGTCTTCAAAGAGTCTCAACTAATCCTACTGGAGACTCCAGAAGTGGGAGATGAATCTGGGGTATAAAAAGGAGATCTTTAATTAAACGCCTCAAGACCTGTGTAGCACGTGCATGTTACATATGTCTACTACTAGAATTATTTTCTCACTCCTAGATAGGTGTTGCTGTATTGCACAATTCAAGTTGCCTTCCAAAAGTAAATTGAGCCCTAAAAAATACAATGGGGAAATAAACAGGAGAGGCAGACAGATATTTGGTTGAAATACCTGCTGGAGCTTCCAGTCCCTCTTCACTGACTAGGCAGCCCACAAGGTTTAGCTGTACTGGAAATCTGCCTTTGGTAACACACTAATCCACACTCATCCAAGTAACCAAGCCAGAATTAATCCAGTGACTGGGAGTGTAACCTACTAAGGACTAGAGAAGCTTAAAGCTAAGTTTGTTCATACTGATGTGCTGCAATAGACAGAATGCATGATAAGAGATTCACTGACAGTGATAAATTAAAAAAAATAATTTTAGGAACATCTTTTCACGACCCTGATACCCTTTTTTAAAAAATCTGGCTGACCTGTAATCTCATTATGGATTGAAAGAATAACATCATTTGAAAGTCTGCAGCATAAAATTGTCTTTGTGTTGCACCAAGTAAATTGTTATTTTTTCTGTGAATAGAAGGTGAAGGTGAAACCTGTAGAGCATTCTTTTGGCTACTAAACAGTAGTATAGTAAATAATGTAGGAATGGTGATAATTAAAATCCTTGATATTTCAGCAGTTCTGCATGCCTTAGTTCCTCTTCAGTTCTCCTTTGTTTTAACAGCAAGTCTCACAGTCTTTCCTGGAATTACAGCACACAATGCATGAACTATGTGTATGTATGCATATATGTATGTTTATATGCATGTAGGGATGCATGTGTGTAGATATAGAGGTACATATTAAAATTAAAGGGACTGGAAAATGGCACACATTTGAGAAAACTAGAGAGAAAGAGTAGTATTTAGTTGCAATTGGGGGAAAAATAGTAATTAAGTAGAAATGGGTTGTGGTAGAAAGGAACTCTTACCTCAGGAGACAACCTGCCCTACTTTCTTTTCTCACATTTAAAAATCTATGAATCTTTTACTTGCTTTATCACTTTCCTGATTCCCTGCAGGACAGAGCTGACAGCTAAGTCTCTGTTTTATCTTAAACTGTTCAAAACATGTCGGAAAATGACTCAGAGCCTGCTGAGCCTGCAAGTAGCAGGAACCCACCTACTGATTACCTCCAGTCCAGGTGATCACTATTGCTTGAGTAAAATCATCATGACAGTCCCAAAACAGCTGCCAGAATATTACAATATATGGTTTTTACTGCCTCCTGTTGAAATCCAGAAACTGAGTTGACTTTTTTTAATTGTCTGTAGAGGTAATTATTTATGTCTTGAGCCACTTTGATTCAGTACATAAAGATAGTTTTTCACTCTGTGTTATTAACAGCTGTTTTGTGTTCAGACAGGGTCAAGAAGTTGCACTGTCTGTAGCTGTCAACTCTGTTCATTCTGTGGGCTCTCTTCACTGTCTTTGAATACAACCTTTAAAAATACTTTCTATTTTTATTCCATTGCACTGCTAGGAATTAGCTTTAAAATACACTGTTATTGCTGCATTTTGGCATGATAAGGATGGAGGGATAAAGTGAGTGTGGCTGCATTCATGTCTAAAAATAGGATTCCACTCGAATTTCTACACTAATTTCATTTTAGTAGGTGTTAATTTGTGATAAAAACTTATATACCTCGAACAGCTCTCTGTGATCAAGCAAAATAAAGCCAGATAGGAATTGCAGATCGTTTATGCTCAGCCTGTGTCATGAAATAATATGCTCATTACCATCTATATTATCATCAGAAGCGGCATGTAAGTAAGTGGTTTATGAGATTKTTAGGTTAAAATTCATCTGAATGCGCCTGAACATGCTTTTTGCCATTCTCAGGAGGAAGCTGTAACACCAATCTTTACTGCTGTTATCTCTTGTGAGATAGTTGTGTTTTGTTTTTTTGTTTTTTTTTCTTTTTTTCCTTTTAATAACTGAGGGAGGATATATCACTTACCACTTTCTGAGTGATCTGCTGCAGGATAGCATCAACAATATTTTGGATAATTTGTCAAAAAATGCAATATGGTGACTAACAATAGATAGGGGAAGAGAAACAGATTTTCCAAGTGCAATCTACACAACATGAAAGCTTGGGGTACATAGGCACACATTTTTATTCAGTCACAGGTTTGTCAGTGTCTTGTTTCTCCACTATAGAATAAGTGACAATAATTTCCTTATTTTACAAAGGCATAGGAAAACGATTTCAGTTTTTTAGTCTATTATGAACAGATACTGATGATACTGCTCTCCTTATTAGACCTGCCAATGGGATGATGAAATAAATTATGATGAATGAAGGTTACAATCTACATCTACAGATCATCATAAAAGAAATTAACTTCAGCAAATGCAAAATTCTGTATTATGGAATAATGCTTCTCCGGATTTGTGATACCTGCTGTAATTGTTTCACTGCAGGAAGTGGTATCAGTGACATGCGTAGCAAGGCACAATTTTCAAACAGTTCTTTTTTTTAATATGTATTTTGCTAAGAAGAAATGTAAAATAAAAATCTGTATTTCAAAATACTAATTTATTTTTCTTTCTTTCTTACAGCTTGTGGCCAATGCAATCCTTTTTGTCAGTGTAAATTTGTATGGGGTCTTTGTGAGGATTTTGACAGAAAGGGCTCAGAGAAAGGCATTCCTTCAGGCCAGGAACTGCATTGAGGACAGGCTGAGGCTGGAGGATGAAAATGAAAAACAGGTCAGTTTCTAAGTCTTACTTATTTTTCTCTGTTTCTCCTGAGATGACTGTAGTTCTGTGAACCACAGGTTAGGACACTSTTGCCAAAAGTATGCTAGGGCATGTGTGCATTTCCATTGTGAAGGAAGCATTCCCTTCTTCCAGCTGCTCCAGCTCTTCCTCCCCAGTGCATGCACATTCTTCACTCTTCATCTACAGCGCTCAGAGAAGGTGCAGGCTGACCCCACAGCTMTTGTCTGCTCCAATGCCAGAGGGGACCTGTTCTAGGGCTGAGTCAAAGCTAATGTCTTATTGTAATATAAGATTGTGGTTATTTATCTGCATGGATGTTTTTGGTGGGTGTTAAATGCGCTGTAAAAACTTTTCTTTTGGCTGAGTATGCTATAACCTGTTTGCATTCATGACACCTATTAAAAAAGTCAACATTTTGGGCACGAGGAGCTGCACTGAATAAGTAAAATTGATAACAAGAATGTCTATATTATATTTTTGCACAACTAATAACAAGAATAACTGTGATAGTGATCAATATCTCTTCTCAAAAATCACCTCAGTTATTTGATGGTTTATTTCACATGATTTTATCTAACAGCCATATTGTGGAGCTCACTGTTGTGACTCACAGGTCTGAGGTTCAAACCTACTATGATCTGTTGCTCTCTAKGGTTTGGACTAGCTTTTCCTTTCTGTAGAAGTGATAGCAGAGGGCCACACTGGAACATCTGGATTGACCTCTGTGGCATGGTGGTTACTTACTCCAAACAAGATGTCAAGGCCCTTAAAGCTTGTGTACCCCAATTTTACCTCCCCTCATTCACAATTTATCTAGCAAGTCTATTCCTGTGTGTGGAATAATGCAGGTCCTTAACTACTTTCTGTTACGAATTAAATGAATGTGTTTTTATGACTTGAACATACTCTGTAATAAGTAGATATCTCTTTGAACAACTGCRTATCTTTGCTGGCTGTGTAAAAATGGTATTAGGATCAAAGCCTTTAGATTTAATTCTGGTCTTTTGTGATCCAAAGCTGCAGATTTTTAAAGGCATAAATAACTGCCTTTCCATAACTGAATTTCCATGGGATTTAGACAAGCCTGCCATTTGTGCCTTTGAAAACCTACTTCTGGGATYCACCATGAAAACAAAATTGATTTTTTTTGTTTCTATTGTTAGCACATTAGCAACCTGTCTTATTCTATATATTATCCATGCATATAGAAGCATAACAAAAGCAAAAACATTACACATAAATGCCATTATTGTTGACAGRGTACCTAGATAATACCACAAATGTTTTTCCAATGCAGTGTACAGATCAAGGAAGAGAATAAACTTTTCTCCTACGTTTGTGAAATTAATCATTGCAGTGTAAAACTCAGTGTAGTAGTGAAATATACTCATTAGCTATCAGAAGTACCACCAAAATACCTTCTGTGGCTATTCTCACCCAATCTTAGCATACCTCTAAAACCAGAGTAAGAATTATTGATTACAAGCTACAAAATTATTCTGCAACTGCTGTGGCATAACATACCCTGAGTTTCCAGCTGGCAACACTCAAGAGTGCTTTGAAAGGAGCAGAAAAACTGCTGASCTAGTTCAATTTTTGTATTTTTGCTCTCTAAAGTATCAACACTACATGTTAAAAATGGCTGAATGTTTTCATCAGACTTTCTTTTCTTATCCACATGCTCTGCCCTAAAACAAATAGCCCTTTAACACTGAAAATTGTAATCCGAAATGCTAAAATCTTTCCCTGATATTTCTATGCACGTCTCTAAAGTGGAAAGGAATGAACATGTTCTTGGCTTTTGAACATACACAGCTTTCTGAAGTTAAAATGTTGAGTATGTGAGATAGATATCACAGCTGAAATTGTAAGTGAGATTTCTTCCTCTGTCCTACTTACAGTGAATTCTCCTCATGGGATGCATTTGTAGTAGTCGTCCCATGTGGTAGTTTTGATAAAACTATTTTTATGAGCAAGAGTAAATATCTCATGTTGTAGTATTTTTGGAATCAAAAATACTTTTGAAAGTCTTGCTTTGAAAGTCTTGCTGGGGAGATGGGGAACAGACAGGCTCTGTTTATTTTTAACTTCAGTGTAATGCTCACCCTGTTATCTTGTTCTCTGTGGTCACAATGAACAACTGCCCTTGATGGTGGCATCATCCATTTGTTGCATTGCTGAATGTTATTAGACTGCAATTCCACCAGAAGAAAAGGACAAGAATCAAATAAGTTTTAGATAACGAGCAAATAATTATGAACATTCACTTGAGATAAGCTTCTTCTCTTATTATCTATAAATCTCAGCAGCAAGCCATCCTCTGCAGAGCAAACAGATAAGAATAATTATTGTGACATGGATTCTGTTCCCCAGAATGGTGCTTTTTTCTGTTCTTGCTCAATCAGAGCTCAGTGAACACTTCCCCTCAGTCCCACTGCACTATCTCTCTGTGTCCACTTCCTTAATTCCAGATCATCCTTTGTCCATACAGCAAAAAAATACTGTCAGCCAGCTCCCTTAATGACTTCTCGTGTTAGACATCCCAGCTGATCTTCTAGACTTCACCTATCTCAGGTAAGAAAGAAAAGAGCAAGCAGGGATGGTAAATGGGGGATATGTATACAGCATAGAAAATGTCTGTTGCTGATTGAGCTGATTGCCTCTAAGAGGGGGTAAGAATAAGGAAAATGTGGCTCACCATGTATTAATTCCGGGCATAGTGGCTCGTGAAGCGGAGCTGTACTCCAAGGAAGAGATCTGTTGTACTTATGAGGCCATCTTAACTTCAAAAGCAGCTACTGTCTTTAAAGACCTGTAGACTCCCATTTTCCAAGTGTCTCTTTCAGCTTCTGTATAGCTTTTCTGTCCCCCAGTTTTGTGGTCATCGCTCTATTTACTAATTAATATTCTAATTATGTGTGAAACTGAACTTTCTTTTATTTGTCATAGACTTGTTGTCTGATTAACTGATCGTGTGCTCTCTAGCTTTTGTTTTGGGACATGGGTAATGATCCTTCAGAAACCTCTTCCATGCCACTCACAACACTATAGATTTTCAGAACTCTGCTCATCTCTTTCCAAAAGACCTGTAGKGTCTTTGGTCTCTTGATATCCCAATATTGCCAGATTTGTAATGAATCTTAATCATATCCTTCATTCCTTGCCCTGACAATAAGAATATTTTAATGCATATTCATGCACTGAATTTGGGAATAAAGCATATAATTTACCTTGGTGAAATGCAAATGCATTTGTAGCACAGATTAATGTGAAAAGTGCCTGTTGCTTTCATATGTTGCTTTCAAGGAAGGCCAGGAAAAMATTTGACTTCATGCAAACCTTCAAAGCCCACAAAACAACCTTAGATGCCTTCACTGGTTATGTATTGCATAAGTACATGCAAATGTGGTTGCAAAATAAAGACCATCTTTCAAACTACTTGTTTAGATCTTTCCTTCCTTCCTAAATGTCACTTTTGTACTTCCTCACAATTAGAAATGATGGTGGGAAATTGTTGTGGTTYAGAATGCTGGCCAAAAGCCAGGCACCCACAACACCTGCTCATTCACTCTCCCCCACTACCACACCGGGTAGAGAAGAGCGAAGGGGAAAAAAAACTAACAAAAAGGTTCATGAGTTGAGATAAGGAACGGGGAGGAAACACTTGATGGACAAAACAGGCACTACTTAAATTATCAAGTGAATTTATTACTARCAAAGTCAGAGGAGGAGAATGAGAAATAAAATACAACCCTCAAAGACACCAATCTTCTCTCCACTCCCTCCCCCCTTCCCACACACAACAAAGCAGCAGGAACGGAACAGGATGTGGGGTTGGTCAGTTCATCACCGGATCGATCTGCAGCTGCTGAGGGAGAAGAGTCCTTCCCTTGCATTGCCGTGGGGTCCCTCCCACGGGAGAAAGTTCTCGGTGAATCTCTCCAGCGTGGTTCCACTCTCACAAGCAGCAGTCCACACACATCTGCTGCATTGTGAGTACCCCCACGAGCAGACAGTCGTGCCCAAACTGCTGCACCATGGGCTCTCTCGTCCACCCGGTACAGGCAGAAGGCCAGGCTGTTCTATCTCGGGAGCAAGGCCTCTCTCTCCATGGGTCTCCTGCTGGACACAGCCCCCTTCCCGTGTCTGCCCGCTCCGGCGTGGGGACCTCCCTCCTCCACAGGCTGCAGGTGGATCTCTGCACCCTCTGTGGACCCCATGGGCTGCARGAGGACAGCCTGCTCCACCATGGTCGTCACCACGGYCTGCAAAGGAATCCCAGCTCCGGCRCCTGGAGCAGCTCCTCCCCCTCCTCCCCTGACCTTGGTGTCTGCATTCTTTCACATATTTCTCAGCCTCCTCCACTGGCAAAACTACTGTGTCCTCCCTTTGTTTTGATTTATTCTTAAATATGTTTTCACAGAGGCGTAACCACTATCTTTAATTGGCCCTGGTTTGGTCAGTGGCATGTCCATCATCCTCAGAGCAAACAGCAATTAGCTCTGCTGGACATGGTGGAAGCTTCCAGAAGCTTCTCACAGGCACCATCTTTTTGGCCCCCCCCCCACTTCCAAAAACTGGGCCAAGCAAAACCAACACAGTAATCAACTGGAGAATAGCAGCATCTCCACAATGGGGGATTTGCTATCTTAAAAACTATTCATGAAATCACATCTAGTTTTTCAAACCACTGGAAGTGGAGAAATATATTTATTGGTGGCATCCGTCTTTCATGAAATAGTTGTGTACTTCTCTATAATGCATGAAATTTATATTTATTTAACAGAATAAACTGAAAAAAACACTTGAAAAGAACTGGGAGTTAGGAAGAGTGGGGCAGAGACAGCCAACTCTGTATCTAGCTTCAGGACCAGAAGCCTGCCACTCCAACTAATCGGCTTTTCTGAGAGAAAGGATTGCTCAGCACCATGCTACTGCAGTAATGCTGGCTCCAGGAGACAGACTGGCACTTTGGTGGTGCTCTGCAG